CACCATCAATCTCTTTAGTCTACAGTAGTTTCCATTCACAATAATAGTGATGGTTAACAGCACTATGACACAGTGCTGATGTCACTGGGGTCAACTGTGTAGGTGGATGTGCCCAATCTACGAAAATGGAGCAATCAGCGCGTATCTGTTTGCCTCATTACACTAACTCCCCGAGTGATACATTAGACATGTCTCATATCCTTTCTATTGCATTCTCCTGATAATCAATAGCAGGCCCGCGGCTCAGCAGTCTGCAGGAACATGCATGATATATTCACATGAAAGCAAAACAGTTTCAAAGAAATGTAGCAAGCAACTCGGTCTAACTCTCAACCATTTCCACCCCACAGAGTGAGGATGAAACAGCTGTGGTCCATTCAGGCGAGATGTGATTTCTGAAGGAGCCAGAAATATGAAAAACGGTGGTGCTTGAATGGAAGCTGCTGTCGCCAAATCCCCCATTAGCATAACTGATGATGCAGCGAAAGTTCTCAAAGCTAATACCTTTGTTGAGGTGAAAGACTTTATGCATGCACAGAGATTCACAATGCACACAATTTTATCATTAATGGGGTGAAAACATGTTAATTCATGGGCTTGAGGATGTGAAAGTATTGTTTGTTGTGTTAACGTTTTAATCAGTATAATTAATACAGCGGACAATGAAACAATCACAAATCAGCCTTCAGAGCTTCTGCATTTGAAGTGACACATTGCACACCCTGTCGTGTGTTAAAATCAATGGTACAAGCACAATAGCATCCTGCTTTGCTAAAAGGAAGAATGTCTAATTTGGACGGTGGCTTATTGGAATGATCACCGAGCTTTTCACATTAAAGGACCACAGTAAAGGCCAAAAACATGGGGGGAATATGATGGCTTTGTTTCAAATTATGCTTCAAAGATTTCCATATTTAAAGCGTCTCCCAGCAAAGACTTTGGTCTGATTAGTAATAAACAGTTACATTAATCAATCAATCAATCAATCAATCAAAATAATGTATTAAAACTTTATGGAGTTTATCTTGCGACACTCAAGACGTATTATTCAGAAGAAACCAACATCAATCCACCACGAGCAACCAAGCCGGCTCCCAGTAGATCACAAAACCGGACAATTCACTCCTACCTTGTGCAATAATATTCGCTTGGGTTTATCATGCCAGCTTGTGCAATAACATGTGTGCATGATTGTGTTCCTACTACTGAATATCCTGACTACATTTTTGTTAAACCTGCAGCTCTCAGCTGATCTATATTTTTGTATCTAGGGTGTATATTTTTTTTATATATTTTTTTTCTACTGTATTTATTTTTTGTTGACATTTTTTATTCTATTTAACCGTGCACTGTGTGTTTCTTTTGTTGGCAATCCTTGCTCTTTGCTGCTGTAACACTGTAAATTTCCCCGTTGTGGGATGAATAAAGGATTATCTTATCTTATCTTACTTGGTACCAGTAGTAAGGGGAAAAACTTGCTTAAAAAAGGTAGAGCCCTTGAGCAGACTAGAATGATTTGTGTAAATCCATCAGTAATCATGGGTCAACAAAGTGGGAGAGAACGGCAGAAAACAAGAGCTAAATTAGAAATATATAATATGGGTATATAACTGAAGTTTTGTGATTTAGGGACATGGAGGGCTGGTTAATGACTGGAACATTTGAACATACGGTGTTAAATAATGGTCAGAGAAAAACGTGTGTTCTAGTAGGCTTTATAAATAACCTTAACACTATCCTTCGTCATCGTCGCTGCTCACCTGTACGAGGCTTCATGTCATTTTAAGAGCAGTAATTGATGCTGATGACATGTTCCACAACACGTGACGTCGTGTTAGTCTCATTACGTCGACAGCAGACATGAAGCTGTCCTCCACTGGAATGAACACTGATTAATGATATGAACAGCTGCACATGAATCCAGTCACAAGCAGCACACAGATGAGATTTCAAAACAGTCAAGTCCTGAATGAGAACGTTTTGCTTTGCTTCATCAACAAAGAGGCCAAAAGGGGCTTTTAAAAGCAGCCAGCTTTGGTTCAATGTACGCTGAGATTTTTTAAGGGGACGTAAAACCGCTATTATCCCTCAAAGGACTTTTGTCAATAATAGATCAATCTCTTGTTATTGATCTTTTTGGTGTTTCTACTCTACTCAAACTAGAAAGCCATTACTGATACTGGCTGCATGGTTTTGGGGATACCAGAGTAGCACAGATTTCTAGTCAAACAAAACAACATGACTGCAATTCATATCCTCTAGGAAATATTGTATTACTTATAACTTTTAAATCAGCTGACATTGTAAAGCCTAAGCAGACATCAGGATCTTACTTTTATTGTGAAAGCCAATAACACAATCTTAGGGCGCCCTCACACTAAGCCGAGTTGTCCAATACTGTGATGAAACACGAATCCCCTTAATGCCTTTAAATTAGTCACAGTGTAGCCTGTGTTTATAAACCATAGACTGTATATTAAAATGGACAGAGAAACAGACACCTGGGAGTGAAGTCATGCTAGTTTTCCAATATCATGCCATTCTATGTTCAAGTCATATTTTTGCTAAAAAAGTTTCTTGTGTTATTTGATGCTGTTAAATGGTATAAAATGCCATGATTGGTAGCTCTGCTGAGGAATTCGGCTCGTGCAGCGCCGTGGGCATCAGATTAGCAGAGTACAGCAGAAATGACGGAAAACGGGGTGAATGCCAACATAAGAGTCCTTGAATTTCAAACAGTAAGTGTCTGCTTCAAACTAGATCGTGAGCTGTGCATGCATACAGTTGATTAAGAGACATTAATTAAAGCTAAATCTACCTTGGATGACCACCAATGGGATTCAAAATTGTATTACGGTGGATTGAGTTCCACTCCTACTCGCCACTTAAACTGTTTTCCCTTGTGTGGATGATGCTCACTGAAACCCAAGAGGACAGTATTACTAACAGAAATCAGAATACTTCCAATACCAAAATCTACTACCAATACCACATGGACAACAAATCAGGAGCGTTGATTTATAGGCTGATAAAAACTGCACACACATATATATATGTGTATATATATAGAGAGAGAGAGAGAGAGAGAGAGAGAGAGAGAGAGAGAGAGAGAGAGAGAGAGAGAGAGAGAGAGAGAGAGAGAGAGCTGTAAATACAGATATATCTGCTGGTAAGTGACAATAAATTACAAGACAGACCCCCCAAATTAAGTTTCAGGTAAATTATTAACAGTGTTAGGAACATGTTTTCCAAAAGACAGCAACATTCCAGTCCCCTATGGGCGTAATTTTTTTCTATTCTTGGTCCACTCGTATAATATGTTTGAGCTCGCACTTTGACAAATCATAAAAAAAACAATAAATACAACACCATTATTACGCCTATGATACACAGCTTTATATCTCATTCTCTCCACAAAAATTGAGCCTGGTGGAAACACTGATTAATTGCAACTAAACAGCGACAATCAGACTTTATCAAAAGAAAAAGACAACAAATCACCGACCACCTCATTTGATTTACCATCAAGCCCAAAGAACATGCCAGAAACCTTGGTGTCATCATAGATTCCTAAAATTAACTTCCACAGCTACATCAAAAACGCAACCAGATCATCATTCTTACACCTCAAACACATCTGAAAAATAAGGGCCATTCTACTACAGTCAGATGCAGAATAACTAGTTCATGCTTTTGTTACAAGCAGATTGGACAATCACAACAGTCTCTTTTCTGGACTCGCCCAAAAATCCATAAAACAAACTGCAGCTTAAACATAATGCTGCTGCACGTATTTTAACACCTCTGTTCTTAAATCCCTGCACTGCCTTCCAGCGCACACCATAATTGATTTTGCATGGCCCTGCCCCTAATTACTAAATTAAAAAACAAATTGCTCATACCACACGAGCCCACAAGAAGCCTTAGATCTCATTATCAGAGATGCCCCACCACTAAACTATTTTAAAAAGAGACTCAAAAGGTTTATTTCTACAGCTGTATTTAACTAGGTTGATCAACCTGTGTTTTTTATAGTATCTCTTTTTTTAAGCAGGTTGGGTTACAGTTACTTAAATTGCTTGTGCAAATGAACGTATCTGCTTGTTTATGCTCGTCTTCACGTTCATCTTTTATGTTTTTTTTCTCTTGTGAAGCAAATGGTGTTGCTATCCATATAAAAAGTGCTCTATAAATACATTTTCTACTTCTTCTGTTATGGTTACGTATGTGGAGGTCAAGTGAGGGTTTTAGCATTCTTCTCTAGCCTTGGAGTCATTGCTCCAGGAAACACTGCCTGACAACCAGACAGTCAACTTGAGACCGTCTTTGTAACAGTCCAAATGGCAAAGATAACAAACTGGGATATATTCATTTTGAGTTGTGCCTACCTCGTTGATTGTGGAAATATCTGATCACTCATACATGGTGGACACAGAGCCAGCCCTGCACATTATGATCCCCATACACACACTACTGAGTGCACTAAAATCAAGCATCAGAAAGGAAAAAGTAAATACCTTTCTTGTCTGCTTTTCACCAAATTGTTTTACATTTCAACAACTCAGAAATTTCTTACCTCACATCACCTACTGGGGGGAAAAAATGCTATTCTGTTGACTCTCTCTCTTCAGCAAGAAGCTTATCAGAAAAGGGAAGGTCAAACAAGAAACATACAATAGAGGAGTCTGAGATTGCTTTGCAAACTGAAAGCAGGTTAAAAACTCTGCCAATCCCTTCTGGCTGCTTCCACAGTTCCCTCAAACTTCTTTTAAAGAGGTCACACGGTCAAACACATCACGGATTAAGGTCACCGTGAAGTGGAACGTTTGAGGAAGCAGTTGTGTGAATGCGTTTCCTCCTTTCCTCCTTCCTCCTTCCTCCTGCCGATACAAAAGGCAAACAATCGTCCCTCTTTGGACTGCTGTTGACACCCACATGGACTCCTCCTCCTCCTCCTCCTCCTCCCCCGGCTCCTCCCCCCTCCACCTCTCTGCTTCATCCTACTCCTCCACCTCCTCACCTCTTCCTCTCTTCCTCTTACATGTTGCTCAGTGCAGAGCTCGGATGCAGGATGAGGCTTCCGGCCATGTGGGAATTTCTCTTGACGGTGGCTCGTGGTTGAATCCGCGTGTTGGTGAGGACTTTCTTCCAAGAAGCAGCAATCAGAAGCCCGGCAGGGGACAAAAGGTCAGTCAAGCTGTGAAGCCTTGAGGAATCAGAGAAGGTTCACTCCGCTTTACTTGCCAGTGGAGTCACTCTAACTCTGCAGAAAGAGTGAAAACTGCAACTTGTTGCTGCTGTTGAAGATCTTCGGTGAAAAGGGAAGCTTTGATGAGATTTCTCCCTGATTACAGCCGCTGAAGACACCAGGAGCCATTTCCAGTAATTCACCCTTCTCTGAAAAAGGGTCTGATGAGGACCAGCGAGGCACCTTAGCTGCTCTGTCACATGGACATTGACACTGAACAGCTGTTGCATTCACCATCTCAGTAAAGAGAGAATCCAGGAGCGATACAGTGCGACAAGATGCTGAAAAACTTGTTTGCATCCCCTCGTACTTAGCAACTGGTGAGGATGAGAGATGCTGTGATGACCTACCTGTATTTGACAAGTGTGTTTTTCACCTCGTTGGAGAGAGGAGCGCAGGGCGATCAAAGTCAGCAAGAGGGAGCAGGGGAGGCAGCGGGGGAAAGTGTGAGGCAGTGAGAGGTGAAACAGAGAGGAGAGGAGAAAGTGACAGAACTGTGCCAGACTGAAGACGGAGTAAAGGAAAAATCAGTGTATCAAAGAACTGGACGCACGCCCGCGTACCGCAGCAGGATTGTGTTTTTTTGTAAGAGCCGTGCAAGGTGAGTATGTATTCTGTTTGATGCGGCTGTTATGGCAGGAAATTAAACAGCTCGCAGGAGCAGCTGTCAACTGACCCTAGTGACTGTTCAGTTAAATCATATCATAAACTCTAACATTATGAATTTTTTATTGCCGAGTAGTTATAAAAGCCTGAGTTAACATATTAATGAATCATAGAACAAGTGCTGGGGTTCATCAGCTGTCAGGAGAGCTTTTATAACTCGCACTCGGAGCTCTACAGCACAAGTGGTACGATGCAAATTTTAAAGAGTCACTTCTCTCGCACACAAATGATATTCATTTGAGCCTGAATACTTCATTTATGTCAATAAGGGGTTTTTTTGTGTGTGTGTGAGTGTGTGTGTGTAAGGTTGCTGTGCATGTTTGTGTGGATTTTAATGAAGGAAAAAGTGGGAGGTAAAAAGAGTGTGATTTAATTTAAGGTATCATTAAAAACCATGGGGATAGCAAAGCCATGTGACACTTTGTACCACTGTGATCTCAGAGGCTTCAAAACTACAAGCTTGGTCCAAACAGGGTGAAATTTGTACTTGATCAGACAAAACAGGGGATAAGTTAAATGTCGGAATAATTAATCTATTCATAATTATATCAGTCATTTTTCAAGACCAAATTACCCCAATTACACTCCCTTTAACTTGTAATACGTTGAGATTTTCAGTTACTTTAACAAAAAATATTTAGTCAATCTTCTTGTACGAATCAACTAGTTTGCAAAACACTAAACGTCTCTATCTTAAACAGCAGGGACACTATCAGATGTTTTTTTTTTTGCAACAGTCTGAACCACAATAACATAGAAACATATCATGCATGTATATTTGGGTTGCTAGAATACCAGATTTTTTTTTACTTTGATTTTTTTAACTCAGCTTCTAGTACAAATCAAATGATATTGATACCTTTTTGGGTACCATGGCAACCAAAATAGAAGTCCTAGGCTAAGGCACCAAATACTGTGCAGTTCTTGTTTTTAATAGACAAAAACTGAAGGTGAACTCGCCCAGATTTCAGTACAAAATGTGAATTAGTAAGAAATGTGACTGTAGATCTGAAGTTTTCTCAAGTTTGAACCCTTTTATTTAATTCCATTGATCATTTTATTAACAGAGTTGGTATCGTTTTGAAACACATGACATCCAAAAGTATTTAAAAACATTTTGAGAAGCTTTACTAATCTACACATCTGAGTTTTTAAGACCAAGTAAGGAAGTGAATCCTCACTTTTAAGAGGCTGGATGTGTTAGAGACCGATGCTTGGCGCCTCTGCGACATATCTGCTTGAGTTATTAATTGATTATCAATGGTCGCAGATTCATTTTCATTTGATTGAATGAGCAAATGAAATGAACAATTATACCCGCTCTTGAATCAACTGGATATAATTGGATTTGGACGATAACTTGGACGCAATTAGCAATTAGAAGATATTAGCTTCAGCTCTAGGAGACAATGAGGGGCATGCTCCATTCTTTTCTAAAATGACAAAGACCACAGAGATCCAACAGCGACAAAAATGGAAAAATTATCAATTGTTGCTGCACCATTTGTGATACTTGAGTGGCTGTTTAAGTCTCTCACTTTAAATGTTCAACATTTACATATTTAAATCTAATGTAAGGATCTGATTTTTCTTCATTGCATGAGGATTGCTAGTGAAGGTTTTGGATCGATGCTTGCCTAAAACATTCCTTTTTAAATGCTGACCTGCTGCTCTGGGAAAAGCAGTGAACATTATTTTAATTCCTGAGGTTTTATGAATTAGGGACAAATTAAGAAATTAATCTGCAGTTTTTTTCAAGAGGAGTTATCATGTGTAGCATAAAGACTAGAGGTAGGAGATAAAAACGATTTATGTAAAAATTGAGATTCTTATCTTCTGAGATATTTAATAGATTCATAACTTCCCATTTTTATTTTTTTTTGGTTAATCTGTCACTCCCTGCTAAGTGCTAAGGGTAGCTCTTTAACTCAGTAGAATGCCAAATGGAGCAGCAAGAAATTCAGCCAGTCTCACAGATGACTGGAGTAGACCCTGAAGTGTGTACTACTTCAAAAACAGACTTTGAATCATGAATCTAAAATCATTTTGAATCGAAAAATAGATTCTCAATCGAATCGTGACCCTGAGAATCGAATTGTGAGACAGCCAAAGATTGCCAGCCCTAATAAAGACACTCAAACTATGGCAAAGGTATTTCGAGATCAAAGTGAGCAGAGGGATGATCTTGGTGTAGAGTTTCTGATCCACCTGTGGCTTTATTTAGTGTCACACTATGTCACACTATCCTCCTCCTCCCCCTTCATCATAAATCAACAAACAGGCAAACAAACTGATCACCTGTAATAATTCTTTGTTTCCTATTTCTGCCATCCGGACAGCTCAGGACGGGCTTCATTCCTCTGCTTTGACGCCACTGTCCTCCAGTCCACGCTGCTAATCAAGTATCCATAATGACACCGGAACATAGAAATGAATGGCGTGATTGGGACTATTCATCTCAGTTAGGAGAACGTCCTTGTGTTTGTCAATCTCGTTAGCAGGATCAGCGAGGCTCTAATGTGATTTCCTTTTGTCTCATTATGATTGAGGCTTGATAGGTGCCCATTAACGGGCCCGGCTTAACTACGGCTGCGGGGGATAAAGATTGATCCCTGTTTTAATGTGTACAGATAGATCACCGTGGTAGGATGTAAATAACTGTCTAGAAATTCCCCCCAAGTCATACAGACACACACAAACACACAAAGAGACATGTGGGCAGCATTACCCATAGCAACAGCACAATCAACCCCCAACAATGCAACACCCTGACTAAATAAATTCACCTTCAGGTTACAAAAGAGACGACAGCGATTTCTTCCTCAAGGCTTCATAGCAACTTGTGTTTCAAATCAATCAATACAGACGTCATTCAGCACAGGGGATAAAAACATTAACGCACGAAAGAAGTTTTTAAAACGCATTGGTCAGGGAATAGTTTGAGTTTCAAAAGGTTTCATCCTTGAAAAAGCAACCTGAGTGATGAAAGCGGTCCACAGCGTCCTCGCCTCCTGACACCCCTGACTCCTTTTTTATTTTTATTTTACAGGGACAGAGCATATTAATAAACATTTCTGTTAGCGAAAAAGCTCGTTTTCATCCGTTTTCCCTGGCCAGATTTTATAAAAAGACTCCCTTAAAAAAATAAAATAATAATTAAATCGTCGCTAAAAGCTACAAATAGAAATATCATGACAGTAATGAAGGAGACAAGTAGCCACAGGTGAAAATACATAAACCGGCAGGCACTTCCATTAAATGCATTAAACATGCAGGACAAACGTGGAGCAGCATTGAGCAGACATAAAAATATAAAAAATTAAAGGTATTAGTAAAAGCACATATCCTATAACCTACTAAAGTAAATGTTACGTGCACCCAACAGGACAACATGTAACTCTATTATACAATAAACACGTATGTGAGACATTGAGTGAGCTAAACCTGAAGCTCACCACAATAGACAATTAAAGCATGGAGGACACATTCACCAACACCAGACACAAGGTGGCAGTAGCGGGCGGTTCAGGTTCAGTGCAGACAAATGTTGTTATTAATTAGCCAGTGTTTCTTATCACTAATGGTAAATCAAGTTTAATCAGAGATGTTCAAACACCTGAATACTAATAGCACCTGGTGTGTTTGGACAAGTGGTACACAATATTCATCCAGGAGAAGAAATAAAAAATGACCTTTACTTCAAATCAAACAGCCCTTTTATGTAATAGGGCTGCATTTTCTAATCAAATCGAGTACAGTGGGGCTTTAAATGGAGCTTTTGTGAAGGAGAATCAACCACCGTATGTCCAAACTACTTTATTAGAAATCAAAATAGATTGGCCAGACATTTCTACTGAAAAAGGACAAGTGGTCTGCATTTTGTATTTTTCACTTAAAACTTTGTGCATTGTATCCACGTAGTGTGTGAATACTTGGTGTTATTTTAGTGCCAAAAGTCCTTTAAATTAAACTAGTACTGAATGCAGTACTGAACTTAGAGCCCGACCGATTAACCAAAAAAGCCTATTTGAAGTTCGTATTGAGATAACTTTGATTAAAGCCAATCAACTGATTTCAGCTCTTGAACATTTGTCATTCCATTTACCTTAAAGGTCACATTTAATCCTACTTTTAAACAAGTTTAAACGTGTGTCAGATGTCCCTACAACATATCTGTGAAGTTTCTTGCTAAAATCCATTCCAATCCTGTTTTTGATCATGTCTATAAACCCCTCTATATCAGCCCTGCTCAGGCTGTTTCTGTGTCTGTAGTCCGACCACGCCCCTCTCTGGAAGGGGATGTGGCTGGCTTTCTCGCACCATCCCCAATTACTTAATGTGAGAAGGCAGACTCAGAGGGCAGAACAAACACATAGCTTTGTGAGTGTCAACCATCTGGCTGATGTCATGTATATTTTGTGATGCCACGAAGGGAAAATGTCCAAATGTCTTGTTTGAGCACACATTTTCTGAAAAGTGGAGTAGGCAAAAGACGGAGTGGATGGTCTTTTCTCATAATTAGGGGGTTTGTAGACCAGCTAGGGACACAAATAAGTGTTCAAAAAGCATGGTAAAGTGTATTTTGCATAATACTTGACCTTTAAATTACAAATTTAGGATCATATCATTCACTTCAAACGTCAATAAGTAACTGTTCCTGGTCCGGGGCTTTCAACGATAACACATGATCTTCATCAGAAAAGTGAAGTTTGCAAAGTTATTCAACTTTTCAGAGTTTCCAACCTTTCCATTTGTTAGAAATTTAAATGTTTAAATCGTAAACTGATGGCTCAAATTCTACATATTCTGAATACATTACAGTCTCATTTTGTTATTAATTTATTTAACGAACATTTTGCTTCTGAACATGAAATCACGCTTTCAGATGAATAACAGCTTTGCTTAAAGTCATTCCTGTCCGTCTGTCGAGCCAGAAAATCTCGGCCTCTCTCTCCATCTGTTCCCGCTGGCACTGAAGCTGTGAAGCAACAGTCCATCTTGCCAGTCAAAAGGAACTTAGAGGTCATAATCAGACTGAATTATCATTTTATCTCCCACTTAATTCCCACATTTCTGTAGCTGAAAAAAAAATCTGTGATGTTTGAAGAGATTCAGAGCTCTCGAACCAGGCTGCTGGTGCTGACAGGTGTGTTTGTACTCTCCTCAGCAAGAAGACTCATGATCGCATTTTTCTTTTTCTTTTATTATCTGTTCCTACCTTCACCAGTAACTCAGGGGTTGCTTTCATTAAAGACAGATCCCTCCACTTCAAATGTTTTTTTTTTTGTTTTTTTTTATCTTATCTGAATTAAGGGGTCTTTGGATAGATGTCTAGGATATTAATGATTTTTTTATATGAGTCATAAACAAAATAAACACATTAGGTTTCTATACAACGGCAACAAAAATAGCTTGTTGTTCACTTTAGCAGTAAAGTGCTCCGGCAGCCACTAAAACAGGAGACAACACTGATACTTATTTATAGTATTACAGTAAAAAAGTGGGAAATGTAGGGACTCTGACTAATGTAAACTACAGTGCAATACATATCACTTTTTATTATTAACATTTTTATAAACCTCTCGTCCAACCCATATGGACTGTATAAAACTGTGGATGTTCCTATAGCGACCAAATCCCTTGCAAGTTATACGGAAATTAAAAAAATTCAGACTAACTCACGATAATAGCCTACAGGTGAGAAAACTGTCAAAATCAAGCCCAGTTTGTTTAAAAATGGCCAACGGATAAAACAATGTAATTAGGTTTGCCAAGTGTGGCTAACGTTAGCAGCGCCAGCACCCCCAGACATTTGTCCCTCCTGCAGATTAGCATCCACAGGTGATATCACACTTTAACCTGATGACAACCTACATACATTTTTATCTCAATGTTCTTTATCAAAGGTCTGCCGGACGCACAGCTCCTATGAGATGTAAGCTGATGTCTGCGCTTGTCTACATCCAGGCAGTAGAACGAGGAGAGCTGGCCCAATAACTGGAGCTACAGCCGGCCAAGGGCTACATCCCCATCTAGTGGTGGGTATATGCGTTGCAGTTTGAACATAACATTTGACCATCAGAGTGTCAGCATATACAAATATTAATAATCTGTTTAACCGACCAATAATTCTGCTGCCCACATGCTAGGGCAATGGCGCTTAACCATTTACCGGTACTAGACCTGAATGCGCACATCCTTACTGTATATAAAACCTAAATGCAACCTAAATGACTTCACCCAGTGTAGAAGAGGCATCATGAAGCCCAACGATGGTGGTCACCATATTTGGTGATAACTATGGTTACCAATGTTTTGTAGGCTATAAATTAAACTATGCATCAGTTAATAGTGAAATACAAAGGTGATATTGACGGAACATAAAAAGTCAAGCTTCAGAGCTTTAAAAGTTACCTTGTTTCACTTTAACACAACTTTTATGCGTTGTGCCCCTTACTGTCAGAAACAAAACAATCCCCGCCCACTCAGGTATATATTTATACTGTTTTTTTGTTTTATGTTGTTCATATGGGCTCGGCTCTAATAACAGTGCTCCTGAAACAACATCATTATATTTGAGCCTTTCATCACAGAAAACACTCCTGTTGTTACTTAAATACTGCTCTACTGCACTGTAAAAAAAAAAGTATTTATTTAATGAAATTGTTGTAAAATCAGCTCCTAATCTCTCCTCATGTCTAACGCCTCCATCACAGTGCAGGTAAAGCTCTGCTGTTGACCTCTCTGCTCGGGGAGTTTGAGTCTCGTAAGACTCGCTGCTTCGGGCCATTTTTATCCAAAAATACACAACATCTGACCTGTACATCCTGTCCGATGCTGCCAACAAAACAAACAGATTAATCCACCACTTCTACACCTTGGATACACAAATCAGCCGTGATATAATAAGTATTCTATAATAGCTTTAACCATAGGTAGAAGGGAGGCTTCCGTAAAGAATTCTTGATTTCATGGCTACCTTAATTGGACCAGAAAAATGACTCTGGAAAGCTTTGCCTCCCACGTACAATTAAGTATCCTCCAGAGAGCGGCAGCCTCTTGCTGCACGGCATGACTAATCTGACAATGTGGGCAAAACACAGAGAGAGTCAAAAAACTCACAGGAGAACCTCTGGCATTTACACTACAACAAGAGGGGAGAGAGACCTGTCGCTGCAGCACTCTTCATCCCTCTAACAGCGTGAGAGAGAAAAAAAAAAACAATCCTATTCAGACAGTTAGATACTTAAACAACCATATGAAGGTAAATATGGCCCCACAGCTTCAAATACACATGCGAGTCAAAGTCCTGCGCCCATTTTAAGCATCAACTCCTGGACATTAAGCCCTGATATGTTTTTATTGACATTGTAATTGTGACTTAACTGACTAAAATTTAAAATGATGGGTTTTTATAAAAGGCTGATAATAGATAATATATACCCCAAATATAATTTATTATAATAGTATTTCTATTTTATTTTAAATGTATTCGTTTCAAAATGTTCAATGCCAAAAAATAAAATAACTATAATGATTGTCCCAGATTTATATTGTTTTTCCATATCGCCTAAAACAGACCAGTGTGTAATATTAAGTGATATCTATCAGTGGAATTGTAATAATAGTATAACAGGTCATTTTAAGGTTTGTGACAAGAACAACTGTATTTTTATTGCTAAAGATTGGCTCTTGTCAATCTCCATTGTCGTAAAATGATGACAATGCAGAAGTGCAAAAAACTGCTGTTCCTTAAACGTCCACTTGAGGCTTGCTCCAAAAACCAATGAATCCCCATTAGAGCCCATATTAATATGCATGTTTTACAGCAAACTGTACTGTTCTGGCAATCTAGAAAACAAAACAATAGGCTCGTCACTGTGATATGGCAGCACTAACGACCAAGCTGCCATCGCCCACAACTTATTTCTAGGTTTGTTTTGTGCTTTTGTAACTCTGGTTATACGAGATAAATAAGATCTCTCGAAAACAACCGGAAATAACTGAGTAAATAAAATATATCTATGTATGTCTGCTTAGGGCTTCGTTAGTTATCAAACTAATCTGTGGTTACATTTAAAGTCCACTATGTTCACCAGATGGTCTCTAATTTTGGTTCTAACTTGGTATTGGACAAGTAATGCACAGTGGGTTGGTTGTTGGATTTTTTTTCTCTGCTTCTTGTTGCAGCTGAAAATAAAACTGATTGGAGCTGTGAGACTGAGCCAAGACAGTGAAGGTGTCAGTTAAATGAATTATTCATATTCTGGTCAAAAGTTATACTGAAACTGCATCGCAGCCAACAGCCACTAGTGGGGGGTTTGAAGCCATACGCTGACTGTAGCTCCGGTTAATGGGCCTGCTCTCCCAGCTCTACTACCCGGATGTAAACAAGCACAGGTAATGAAAGCATCTTGACGGAGAAGCGCGGTTTGACAGGATTTTGATCTAGAAAACAGAGATAAAGATTTACGTAGGCTGCGTCAGGTTAAAGTGGTATATTGATCGTAGCTAAGTATAACTACATTTAGAACAGGAATGTGGACTGGTGGGGCTGGCAGTGCTAACGTTAGCCACACTTGACAAACCAAATTACTTTGTTTACCTGCAAACAATTTTACCTGAATTGTGCTCAGTTTTGACTGTTTTCCTACCTTCAGACTAGTCGGTTAAAGGCATCAACATTTCCTTTTAACCTACAATGAAAAGAGTTGGCTGGGAACATCTCTTATCACAGCTGCTTTTAATTTTATCAACAATTAAACTTTTGAGTTGAACCCCTGATAGAACTTTGAGAAAAAAAACACAGACAATTACTGTATATAGTGGGGAAAAACACAATTATCTTCAAAAAAAGGAACCTTTAAGTGCCATGCTTTCCACTTCTATAAAATCACTGTTAGTGGTTTTGTTAGTTAATACAAGGTCAACGATTGGGTGTAACCCTGCTAGAACAGGTGAATTCACTACTCAGACCACATCCTGTTTTTATATGAAAACTAAAATAACCCAACACTTGATGATATGAAACCAAACATTTGCACATTTTCAAACTCAACACAGTGAAGTGCTTTCCTCTCTGCAGCAGTATGTTATGAAATCCACTCAGTCATGCTGAGAGCAGAGGAGACGGGCTGAAAGGGACGACTCGGTGACTCCAGATTTTTACATCAACATGTTCAAGCATTGTTGCCATAATGACTCCTGCGAAAGAGCTGACTTGTAATATAGTTTGAAGCAGAATGTAGCTTTTAGACTGTCGACGACACAACAGCAGATGTATGTGCTTAATAATGTGAGTCTCTGTGTTGACTAATTCCTTAATTGCCTGTAACGGGCCAAAACAAGTATTTTCTTCTGCTACAGTCAGATTTACTCATTTCTATATTTCTATAACCATGAAGTGAATTGTTTTAGACTTTCAACCACAAAAAATTGAAGGTATCACCTTGTCTTTGAATCTACTGCAAGCATGTGAGGAAAGTCAGTAAATCATTCACTAACTACTAGTGTAGAAAATGATGGATACAAGTAAAAACCGAGCCAGGGATAGAAGAGGGTCCAAGTGTGTAAGCACAGAGGGACAGGCATGCAGGTGAAAGAGGAAGTCTATGTTTATAGTAACACACAGACACAAGAATGTTAAACTACAGCCAAAATACTGAGAGGATGTGTTTTTTAAATTACTTACAAAAATAAAGTTCATGAAAATGAGATAAAAACATGATGATTTTCTCAAATTAAGGACAGCCTGGGATGTTGAAAATCCATCAGTCTGCACACAGTATTGATCTACTTCAGATAGTTTCCAATACAGATCCACAGAGTCATATATTAAGCTCACCAAGCTGTAACATCCACACTAAGATTATCAAACAGTAACTACATCCAGTCTAATGTTCCTACTTTCACTGCCAACTAGTGGTCACAACAACCTGCAGCCTTAGCTGATTTTGACTACTGCTCAACAATACAAGGTGTGATTTCAAACAATGCGATGAAAATGTGAAGCACATGATAATGTGAAAGGAGAGGGGCGGGCAGAAAACAACATGTCTTCATTGCTCCCTCATCGGCCCTTTGTCTGCATCAAGTCAGACGTTCACATTTAATAGAGATTTATAAAGTTAAATCGATTTAATAATGCAGATGCTCTTTCTATTTTAGGCTGCAGATTCTTATTATTAGATGAGCTGCTAACAGCACAGCCCTGAGGGCACGACTCACTCTCTTCTATGAAAGCAGCAGAGGAGTCGTTGGTGGTTCTGAGAGGACAAAAGAATTTGAAGAGGTAAAATTTGGCTCTTGAAAATTGTGATAAGCACTTTTTACAAATGAAATTTAAAAACTAAACCTAAAGGAAAATAACAAAAAAAGTAACTAAACATTGAACCTGTATGCTTCTTACATTTTCTTTTTTTCCCACGTTTACATGGTTCATATTCTCCTCTTGTTAAAGTCCTTCAACAATTTCTAGGGAGCCAACAGCTAAATAAAAAATGGAAAGCAAATATTTTGGGGGAGCGGGATCACCTTGTGGTGATGTCGCCTGCCCCATGTACAGAGGCTGCAGTCCTCATCACAGTGGTGGCCATGGGTTTGAATCCGACCTCAGTCCTTTGCTGCATGTTATCCCCCACAATCTCCTCCCAACACTCCCTGTCCCTCTTCAGCCGGCCAGGAAAATGACATAAAGTAATAAATATTTTCTAAAAAACACAATCAGATTTGGACAACGACCCTCTTCCTTAACCCAATTTAAGCCAGAAGTTTAAAGTGAAGGTCTTACATTATATCTTGGATCAGTCCTACATGTGAAGGAATAAGCATCACTGAGTTTTGCAACTTGTTTCTCCTGGGGGTGAAGAAATATCAAAAGTAATATGGATGAGACTGCTGAAAGATTAGAGGACCGCCAAACACTGACAAAGGCTGAAATTAGCAAACAAAGGCAAGATGAACAATGCAGCCATCTCACAGCAGTGTCCAAAAAGAGAAATTAAAGTTTTTCAGAACAACAAGTATTGACGAAGTATGACTCAGAGACGAGTACCATCGGACTCAGTGGAGCATAATACAGTTCCTTTAATCCAGTTATGCTTTCTGCTAAAACTGAGCCTACACTTATAAGTAGGCAAAATGTTGGAGCAGCACACAGAAATGTGGGAACTGGACTGAAATTTGTCACTCCAGTTTTTCTGAGACAAATTGGCTTAATCTGTTTGTCACGCAAACTGAGCCAAAATCCAAAAAAACGGACCGAAGGAGTCCAGAAATCCGTCGACTGATTCATATGTCAGTTCTTAAAATCAAAGCCAAATCAACTTGGTGTTCTGAGATTATTTTCATGTTTTTGGAAGCTCTCTCCCCGGACTTGTTCCTCCTGCTCATGGATTGAATGTGCACTTTGGGTGTGGTGGGTAAAATCAAACTTCACAAAAAGGTTGGCCAGATCTTACCTGCTGACTCAAGCAGGACGTGGTAGTCAGTTCCTCTCTGAGTGGGCGTGTCGTCTTCGGGCTCCCGCCTCTCTGACTCAGCATATCGGTCCCAGTTGGACTCCAGTTTTCTCCTGGAGAAAACCTCCATCTTCTCCGCTTCCTCCTGAAAGTCACCCCCCTCATCTTTATCCTAACAGAGAAGAAAGTAGAAGAGTTAAACCACCGAGCTAAGGTAATGAACCACAAGCAGAAGTGATCAAATTTGATTCATATGGACAAAAAGAAAAATGCCTGAGATTTATTACAAGTATTTCCTAATTGAGAAGGAAGGGATTTTGAACATGACGTTGTATGGACCAAAATTGTCTTCCACAGTCTTGGAGACACAATTTGATTTACATATTTTACTTCTGTACCATCATCTCTCAAGAGATGAAGTAAAAATTGCAAGTTGTTCAAATACGTCCGGAAATTGATAAAACATCAAAATCGTTTGGCTGCTGCACAGCCAACCATCCCACCATCTAAAAAAAAAAAAGAGCTAGAACTTATACCACAGAATAGATAGTGTTACACAATGTATTCAGAGCACATCGTGTAACATGCTCATTAACACATAGCTGTGATTCAGTATCTGTAGCTAAGCCAAACACAAGAGTCAAAGTAAATGGCAATCCACACTGTAAAACCAAACTCATTAAATTTGTTTTTCTTCTTCTTCCTCGATCACACAGCTGCACAACCCTTAAATAAAGTTGTCATGGATATGTGCACCAGGAGACGTTTCATAAGAGTTCTTCTTCTCTCGCTCAGTTTTTCCGATCCCCTGTCAAGTCAAACACGCAACACAATCATCAACAACCCCACGTTCGCTATGGATGCACCAAAGGAGATTTTTATGATTGCAATCAACAAGCCCCTATGTACCGAAAGGAGATTTGTATGATTGCAATCACTGAGCCCCTATTGTTTCCTGTCTAATTCTGTAGTTTCCATGGCAGGAGCATCAACTGACAGAACATCCCGGTGGAAACGAAGCTGAGCTCTCTGGTGTCATACCCGGCGCCCTGATCATAGGATGACAAATGTTTAAGTGCTGTGGATACATTTCAAGTGTTTGAGATATAATTTCTTTAATGAAAAACACTTCATTATTTAATTATATGCATTATGTGTTTAGTATCATTGAAGTGATGATGTTTACACAAACACCACTTCTCTAATTTACTGCAATCCAATATTTATGGTATTGATGCTTATATGTTTCATGACGCAAACACTGTGCTGATTGTACGAGGGGGGGAAACGTACAGGCAAACGTAATGACGTCATAGCAAAACTTAGTATTTTAAGTTTTCAAACTAGTCTTTTACATGTTATTTTTATACAAGGACGGTGATGAAATATAATGTTTTTTAATGCCGAGTTAATGAGTTTTAAACGGGGAAGTTGTGTATTATCGTGACAGCTTTAAGAGCATGTTCCTGATGACGCAGATACAAAATCGCTATTTTTTGTAAAGGGGTTTGGCGGAGCTTTGAAGTGGGACCGCCAAAAACAACGCAGCTTCCACGCTCCCTCACCCGGTGATGGAAGTCCGCTGCACGGCCGCTTCCCCCGCGTCCACGACCCCGGTAGTGGTCTCTTTTCCCCCTGCCTCGCTGGTGACCTCCTCTCCCTCTGCCTCGGTGTTCACCGCCATGACTGTCGCTGTCGCTTCCTCCCCTGCCGCCTCTTCTCCAGCTGCCTCCCCTGCCTCTGCTCGGTCTGTCCTCCATTGCTGTCAACTTTGGCCGGACAGTTTAGTCTGTGACACCCAGTGACACCGCAGAGTTCGAAACGAGTGTAACATCGAACTGCGCCTACGACAAAACAGCGTTGGATGGTTCCGAGTCCGGATTTTTTCCAAAATAATAATTAGCAAACTAATCTGCAAAAGTAAAATACTCAGTACTTCATTTTCAAAAATTCAAACATTTGAAGAACAACATTTGAACAAAACAGTTTAAACACATACATGCAACGTACAAAAATATGTCATACAAATTGCCAACCTATAGCCTATTCAGTTGAATTGTATAAGTACATGCAATGTGAATATGTAATGCAAAAGGGAAAAACAACACTGTAGTTTTTTTTCATTATTATAAAATTCTGAACTTAAGGGATGAATGCTATATTCATATTTTTTTACTTGCTCCTATAGTCGTATTTGTTATTTTGAGGTGAAATTACTTAAATTCAAGAGTAGATTTAAGTAATTTCCCCCCTTTTTAAAAACCATCAAATAAATAAAACATACAGATAATTCAAGTGATGTGATTGTGTGCGTACATTTTCACAATCTCGAGACCAAATAAGGTTAATCCTATCACATAAAGCTGGTAAATTGGTTATAAGAAAGCAGCATTGTATTCAACATCTCTATTCAAACTGTAGTGTGAAGAATTCAACATTTTTAATCTAAATACACAGAATACTGCTACTTAAGCCTTATAAAGTATTGTGCATGTATTTTGTGTGACTCTTTAAAACAGAGATTTTTTCAGAGTTTAAGTTTAACAACATATTTAACATGTTCTTCTTGTTTGTCTTTTTTTTAATTTTCAGCTCAAATCTTGATGGAGCAGCAGGGGGCCACCTTTCTCTGACCAGTCAACTGAAGCACACATAACTTAGCATCATGGATGTAGATCTTCCAAACAGCACTTTCGCCAACACAACCCATGTCCAGGCCGCTCCCCACAGCCTCTGGGAGGTCATCGCCATCGCCACAGTGTCGGCCATTGTCAGCTTGATAACCATTGTTGGCAACGTGCTGGTGTTGCTGTCCTTCAAAGTCAACAGCCAGCTTAAGACTGTCAACAACTACTACCTGCTGAGTTTGGCTTTCGCTGACCTCATCATCGGAGTGTTGTCCATGAACTTGTACACCACATACATCCTGATGGGTTACTGGTCCTTGGGAAACATTGCATGCGACCTCTGGCTAGCGGTGGATTATGTAGCCAGCAATGCTTCTGTTATGAACCTACTGGTCATCAGCTTTGACAGGTACTTCTCCATCACAAGGCCACTAACTTACCGGGCTAAAAGGACTCCAAAGAGAGCCGCCATCATGATCGGTCTGGCCTGGCTGGTGTCTTTCATCCTCTGGGCGCCACCCATTCTGTGCTGGCAGTACTTTGTAGGAGAGAGGAAAGTGCCTCCTGACCAGTGCCAGATCCAGTTTCTGACCGAGCCGGTGATCACATTTGGGACCGCCATCGCCGCTTTCTACATCCCTGTCTCTGTCATGACAATCCTTTACTGTCGGATCTACAAGGAGACGCAGAAGCGGACCAAGGATCTGGCAGAGCTGCAAGGGCTCGCCCCAGAAAACGTTCCGGAGGGGACGAAACCGCCGAAGACGATCATCCACTCATGCTTTCATTTCAACAGAGAGAGGAAGGAGCGGAGTCAGGCCTCCTGGTCCTCGTCTAATCAGAGTAATGTCACTAAAACCACGACTCGATCGGATGAGGGGTGGGTGAAAGCAGATCAGATCACCTCCTTTAACAGCTACACCTCATCTGAGGAGGAGGAGCAGCATGTGTCCATCGAAACGCCACAGGGATCTTTCGAAGAGCAAGCCATGGGACAGAGTAGTAAGAACGGGCAGGTGACTGATTACACAGAGGATCAGTATTTCTCCACTCCTCAGAAGAAGAACAGCAAAAAGCAGATTTCTTATATGTTCAAACCTGGCTCCAAAGGTAAAAATGGCAAACCGGTAAGTGCGACACCCTCGCCCTGCCCACTCGTAGAAGAGCAGCCCCCAAAAAACGCCTCCCCGGCCTCCTCCACCACCTCCAAACCCATGGACCCCGTCCTGAAGAACCAGATCACCAAGAGGAAGAGGAACGTGCTGATAAAGGAGAAGAAGGCGGCCCAGACCCTCAGCGCCATCCTGCTGGCGTTCATCCTCACGTGGACGCCGTACAACATCATGGTGCTCATCTCCACCTTCTGCACCGAGTGCATCCCCATGTCCCTGTGGCACCTGGGCTACTGGCTGTGCTACGTCAACAGCACCATCAACCCAATGTGCTACGCTCTGTGCAACAAGACCTTCCAGAAGACGTTCCGCATGCTGCTGCTCTGCCAGTGGAGGAGGAGGAGGAGAGGCGAGGACAAGCTGTACTGGTGTGGACAAAACCCAAATGTCAACAACAAAATGACTTGATCTGCGGCATAAGAGCATATAGGCTAATTAGTATTTCCCACGTGCAGATTTTCTTGATATGTATATATACTGTAGTGAGTGGGCGTCTTCAGCATGAAGTGCTGCATGTGATTTTGTTGTGTCAGTACATGCAGGTGAAAAAAAAGGAGCTGAGTCTAAAGCAGCACTTACAACTGCTGCTGCAACGGATTTGATCGGAAAATGTTCATCCTCAAGGTGGCTACAGATTCTAACAGCAGTTCGAGAACGGGTTCAGTTCAGATTATTTATCTTAAAAGGGAAAAATACTTTGTTTTTACAAGTTGTTTACAGGGGATGTGGAGTGATTTTCTGTGCTTGAAGCGTGTTGAAAGAAAGCAGCAACCTCCAGTGATGAACATGAAGCCAATGCAGAAGTGAGAAAAGCTGCAGTTCCTCGAGTGTCCACTAGAGGCTATCTCTATCTAAAAAAATGTAGAGGGGGATGAATTGTTGGAAAGCTCATCCATTTTCAGATAAGGCCAAGAGTTTTGCATAATTGAGGGCATGGCTGATTTGAATGAAAGCTTGGCAGGTTGTAGCTGTTTCCCAGGAGGCTCCAGGCTTCACTTCACCTGACTCTGTTACTGACCTTTAACTGTTTTGCGTTGGTGTCATTGTTTTGAATATGCTAACAAGATGACCAACAGGAGTTAGATGGGCGTGTTTCTGCCACCAAGATTTTTTATTCAGCCGTCCTCAACTCCACCTCTTTGCCTGCTTCTAAATAATTCATTCAGAGAAAGCATTTCTTATTATGGTGGCCGCCATTATTGGGCTTCACATCCCGCTTCAGAAAACCCACAATTGAGGTCACTGCAACTACATCCATGCTTTCTCCTGTATTTCTTTGAAAGCCATCTGGTGCCCTGGAAAGAGCTGAGCGAAGTCTGATAAACTGCCTCATGATATGTCACTAGAGGCCCAGAGGCCACATCAGCAGCGACTGGCCCCACACATCAAAATCTGCAAATCTGTTGCATTGTGGGTAATGTAGCCCCAGTCTTTGAAGAGGAAGAAGAATGTGTTTAATATAAAATATGATATGTCTGTTTCTGCTGCATCAACTTTAAACTGTCCATCAAGAGAACAGCGATGTAATAGGAATGCTATAGGATGTAATTCATGGAGCACGTGTATGCTACAGAAATCACACATCAGTACGTACACAAGAGGGTTACTGGCCGCTGTAATCATTTCTCTTCAACATACCTTTCATTACAGAAGCCCTAAACAGACTTGCATCTATAAAATTGATTTATTACAAATAATTCCTGGTTGTTTTTCTGTAGATATTGACGCATTTATCTCGTATAAACCAGCACAAAACAAACATGAAAAGGCTTACGTCTTACCTCATTAGTGTGGGCATGTCATGCTGAGGTCTGTATCACACTACTGTTTGTTCCTATTATCACGGGAAAAAACTAGCTTTGCTATCTCAAGATAATGAGATTATTTAGCAGGCCCGGTTATACAAGGGTGCACCCTCATTACATGTTTCTGCACCCTCAATTGAATGGACGCAAAAAAATAACTTAATTCATAATTTTTTCAACGATTAGAAATAAAGGCTTCAAATGACAACAGTGTTTACTCCATGATCTGATGGTTATGACAGGTGCACGTGATCTGTCTGTTCACCGGGGACCACATGAGGGGCCCATAGCACCTACGCTTTTTTTTCATTGCTGCTGCTGGTCACTGTAGCTGCACCCCCTTTTTTCTCACATGCACCCTAAGTCGTTTTGTTCTGCAACCAAGCCTGTAAATAAGTCAAGGTCTGGAGAAAACAACGGGAAATGTCTCGTCATCACATGAAAATGGAGAAAATAAAACGTATGAATGCAGGTCTGCAAAGGGCTTCCAGAGACAATAAAATCATCTCCTCTTTGAAGTAACGTGACTCCGATGTAAGAGATTGGGGACAAAATCTACAGTCCAACCTCTGTGTAAAAAATAAAAAGTTAAAGTCTCACAATCTCTTTATTGTCCAGTTAATCAAGTTTTCTATTTTACTGCCGGAAAGAGAGATTTCATGGGGCAGTTGTTTGACTTGTGTTACATTCCTGTGTTCTTTTTTTAGAGCAAACACTTGGCTGGACAGTAAGGAATCTGTTTTTTAAGCACTTATTTGAACAAGGCCTGTGTGTATTTTGACCCCAGTTTCTTACACAGGAGTCACACTTTTAGAGAAAACACTTCCGGCTCGTTGCAAAATTGAAGAACGATTACAACCTGTGCGATCATGTGGTCAAAAAAAAAAAAACACCAACTCTGAACCTGCCCTTCAAATCCATGTATTCTTCTTTATTCTATCCCTCACGTGCACTGTATATAAAGAACACATTGTAGGCGTTCACATTTCAAGGTCATTTTAAAGAACGTATTTCACTGAAACTGTTGGATTTTATACATCACAGACTGTAAATGTTGATTTCTTTGTGTATTTTTAGTGTGCAGTGAATGTTCTCTCTTTTGTTATTATCTTGGCTCTTGCAACCAAAGTTGACGATGTGTTCAGGGGCTAATCTGTGCATTTGAGTTGCATTAGTTTCACAGTTGTAACATGACAGAAGACATTTGAATGGATAACACTTCTCTGTTCATGTCATTTAACTCTAAGAAAAAAAAAAACTTGGACACATGGTATTTGAAGCCACTTCTCTCTGATGGACGAGCGCTGCTGTTGTACATTTTTGCACTTTTGTGTCTTTAAAAATGATGTAACGTCAAATGTTATCGCTCGAAAAACTCTGTGCCTTCTGTTTCTGCTCGGAAGGCTAAAAAACGCTTTGTGACTGAACCTGTGCTCGTCGTCTGTCTGTGTGATTCTGTGAAAGTGAGTCAGAGTGTACTGATATCAACAATGAAATACAAACTCAACATGAACATTTTTAACATCCTATCTGACGACTCTTTATCATTTGTTCCGTGAATATTCTCCTTTCATTCAGAAATCGTGCAAGTTATTCCCCTCCCCCAACACTTGAGTTGTAATCTAAACCTGCCAAACGTACAACAGGTGCTGTGATGAAGTCCTGTGAGATGTAAACCCTTCTTCCAGGGAGGTGTAACTAAGACAGCAGAACACTTAGGAATCAAAAATACACCATTTCAAACACATGCAAGGCTGATGAGGTAATAAGTCAGCAAAGGCGCTGCTTGTCAACAGGCAAGGCAGGCAACTACTTGGGGCCCCAGACCAGTAGGGGGCCACAGAGGGCAAAACAAATTTAAAGGCTTTATATGCGATTTTTCACACTTAACTGTAATAGAAATCAAGTATATCCTCTGAAAATATGTCTGTGAGTCATGACTGTCTACAATGGGTGTAACACCCGAGTCCCACTGTCTGTGATGTTTTCAGAGTTTTCAGAGTCCTATCTTCAGTTTGTTTACATCGCCTGGACGGCCGGCTGACTCCTCCCCTCGCGTATAAAAGTTGTTCAATTGAGGGACTAGAGAAAAGAAGAATAACATACTGTACTCACTGCTTAACTGTGTTTCTAGATCACGCTCATTTCAGGTAAATTTACATGCAGTGTGAAGATACAAGCATAATAAAGATATCTAGCATTAGCATGCTAACACAACAATGCAGCGTGAGTTGTTTTGGTTTCATGCTGGTGCTCAAGGGCGACATCTGCTGGATCAAAAAATTGCATATAAAGCCTTTAAACTAAAGCAGCGACCAAAAATGTGCAAAATTTGCTAAATGACAGTATGAGACCTCCTTAAGGGGGCACCATTTGACAGCATTCACTCTCATTGCCCTGCCGAACGCTGGTTGGAGGCCCCCCGAAGGATTTTTGCCTTGAGCCCCAACAGACTTCAGAATGGCCACTGTAAGTCAGTTTGGATATTTTGCGAGTCAACAATATATTTCCACTCAACGCCTTTGTCTCCAGATGGACGGAGATAGTGTCTGTATGAACGTCACTTCACCTGGGACGTCGGTTGTGAGCAATCAAAACCAAATGCATCTTTCTATTTTGTTTGAATGAAGGATCTTTGAAAAGCCTGATCAGTTTAAACCTTTTCTTTTAGAAGTCATCTCTTTAATCATCATAAAAACCACTCCGATTTATTAGGTGACACCGTTGGTCGATCCTGACACCCAGAGACTTCAAACCATTCCCTTTTCACAGTACGCATCAAAGTTGATTCCCTGCCATTGAAGATAAAACCACATGACCCAGCCTTGATCAGCAGATGGAGTTGTCTCTGTTATCATGGAGATGACTCTTGTGTGATCTCATCCAAAGCACTGGAAGAACATCTACCTTCCTTTTTTTTAAAGATTTATTTTGGGGCTCTTTAATGCATTTATTGCAGAGATAAGGCAGTGACAGAAATCAGATACAGAGAAACTAGGGAAAGACATTCAGGAAAGGGGTTCAGGTTGGTTAGGAACCTGGGACATCCGCTTGCGCACACTTAACCACTCGGCTTCTGCCGCCCCCAAGGACATCGATCTTAACTTTAAGGGACAAATCGTTACAACAAATGAGTCGATGGATTAATTTGAGCCCATGCCATACACACTGCGCTCTTAAATAAATGTTCCTCACAGAGTCCTGGTGGGGGGAAAGTGTGAATACAAACGGTCCAAATCAATTCACCTGGACTTTCTCCTGCCATTAAATGTCTTAAAAATCTAACATAAGAGAGAGTCGGCGGTGTGATGACATCGTTCAACCTAAGCCGAGTTTCTCTGCTTTATTGATCGCCTAAAATGAGATGAGATGAGAAGAAGCGGTCAGCCTATTGTTTTCCACTGTTTCATTGTATCGCAGAAACATCCTTTCAACATTTCTTATAGGCGACCCATGAAACAATCACTACTACCGGTACTGAACACTCGTCCTACTCACTCCCCCTCCCATCACTGATGAATACCCTGAGACAGCTGGAAAAACCTAGAGTGGATATAAACTGGGATGGTTTTTTGTAAAATGTCATTTATTAGTCATACTTTTCAGCATCTGAGGACATTAATAACAAACACAATATATTAAGACTTGCATATCGATTCTTACCGTCTGCTTTGTTAAAATCTAACCAAGTATCTCAAAAGCAACCACACAGCTCGCCCCTCCTTTAACCTGCCCGTGATTACCGTTGTAGTTTATACACCGTAGGCACGTAATGTACAGTATGTATCTCTTGGCCATAGAATGACTCATTAAATGAGAAGGCCATGTGTTCACTCTCAAACAAACAAGATGATCAGAAATAAAAACACAGTCGTTATATCCCATTCAATTTATTAATCTAACCTTTTTTTTTTTTTTAAATAAGAATGTATCAGTCTTAAAATTCAATGTATCTTCATTCACAGTCATATTACTGATATCCCAAGAAAAAAGAAAAAAAAAGAAAATCTCTGAATATATTTTCTCTTTCAGGTCAGCAGCAGTGGGAAAATGTACACCGGAGGGTTAGAGCGGGAAAATAATTGATGATAAGTAGTTGAACCACATAAAGAAGAAATAGCAAATAAAGGATAACAGCGTTTGCAGGGTTTAAGAGTTTTCTATCAGTGCAGTAAGAAAAACATCTCTGTTTTTTTTTTTTTTCATCCTTTCCGACAGCATATTAGAAATCAAGATGTGCTCAAAACATCTATTATTAAAGAAAACTGTACAATAGACCCAGAGGGGGGAGGAGGGGGAGGAGGGGGTGGTGACACTTAAAAATCTTTCTTCCATGGCGTAACCCGAGCTTCATCAGGCAGATGGAGGGGGCACGTGCAGTACTACCTCCTCTTCACAGCCGGCCTGGTGCCCTTGCTGCTGCTGCCTGCCTTGCTGGAGCCCTTTGAGCCGGAGAAGAGCTTGGTCATGAGCTCGGAGACGTCTGGAAGCTCGGGGTTGGGGTTCAGCATGTTCATGGACTGCTCCATTTCCTGGAAAAAAAACAACAACAACAACAGAAATGAAGAAATGACGACTGTGGGCAGATTTGTAGAATCCTCACTGATTAAAAAAAATAAACATGATGAAGCAGATTTGAACACAAGGTGAAGTCTTGTATGAGTACCGGTGTTATTTTCTTTTACCGACATTACAAACACGCACTTGTCCAATGCTAATTTAGAAATCCTTACCTCATAAGAATGTATTGAATACAACCAACAATGCATGACTAAGTCAGTATATTTATGAACAAACAGATTTTCTTTACCTTTCTCATCTCTGGGTCGTTGGTGTTGACAACCTTGGGCAGCAGAACGATGATGAGCAGGGGAAGAACCATCATCATAACCTGCAGGAGAAACAGACGATCCATTTGAACAAAGGAAACAGAAGAATTTGTGTTTTAAACATACATAAAGTATGATTAAATGTTCTGGATTTAACAACTGAAAATGTATTTATACTGGCAAACACCCACTGGAACAATAATTAGCATTTCTAAATGACTTAAACCATATAAACACTGATTATTCTTTAATGTTTCCAATAATCAAATGCATTGATTTGGCTTGCAGATTAATATTCACTTCTCAACTGTTTGGGAATCAAGGGCTCAAAGAAAAAACTAAAGGTGAGGTTGGATTCCATAGAGGTAAGGTCATGATATGAACAGTTAGATTGTCACAATTTGGGGCGCAGATGGCCTAGCGTTAGGTCCCGCCCTATGTACGGAGGCTGTAGTCCTCCAAGTGGGCGGCCCGGGTTCAAGTCCAACCCGTGGCTCCTCTCCTGCATCTCCCTCCCTATCTAAACAAAGGCAAAAAGCCCCAAAACAGATCTTAAATCTGACTTTGATACTTTCCAATACATTGTGTTTGAAATGATAAAATCTCGGTTATTTTAATGAATAGAATACTTAAAAGTTTAGAAGCTTTTGAACGACATCTTCAGTCATGTTTTAACTAATAGCAGCCAGAAGCCAAAGAGAGAGCACGGTCTAAATCACACCAAACGCTTTGGTACAGAAATGTTGCCAATGTTTTTGTGCAATTTAGACAGTGTGCAGGAGTTTTCCTTCGACTTTTGTTAACTAAAAAACAAGAAATTGTCCCATATTGAGTGCAGAGGACTTTTTTCTTCGTTGCCATGGTATCAATACAAGTATGGATATTGTTTGATTATTATAATCAACATCAATCTAAACAAATCAATCTGTCTTGCTGGGTTTTCTCTCTTCCCTCCACAGGGTATAAATCATGGACAGTCAGCACCTTCAGGGCAGCATGTATTTCTCTGTTTTACCATTGGGTTCATGAGGAAGTCTGTCCAGCCCCAGGTTTCTCTCTTCATGAAGTAGCTGTGAGGACCATTGGCTCTGACTTGCAGAGGATACGGCTGACGAATGACTTCAGAAGTCTTGATGTAGTTCACAAGACGAGCCCTGTGAAATGGCATGAGGGGTTTTTTTTTAGGGCTGAAATAGCTTGAAATAAAATGCATTTTACTGTGATTTGTTTACTGTGTGTGAAATTGGGAGCTTACCTCATTTTGCCCTTGGATGTGATGTCAACACGTACTGGTTCAAATCTGTAGTTAGGGCTGACAATTTCCACAACATAGGATCCTGACGGTACGTCATTCACTGCAAAACTTCCATCAGTTCTGTAATGAGAGGATAAACAAATGAGGATTTTGTGTTTTCAGCACTGCACTTAAGTGAGGGTTAGAGAGAGAGACGTGTTGGTTTAACTTCAGTTACACCTTTAAGTAAGATAAAACAATAATATCAGCATGTCAGCAGAAGATTCAAATTACAAATCGGCCCCGCTTTAACATTTTTTAAATAACATGCATTTAATTATTCTCTAGTCTTGCATGATTCCTTGAGGAGGATAAAGTTTTCAGAAGTGTCGATGTTGACAGACTCAATGTTGTGAAAACAGAGATCTCTGTACAACATAGAATAGAAGAATAACATAGAATAGAATTACTTTATTGATCCCAAACTGGGACATTGTGGCGTTACAGCAGCAGGTTATCCAAACACACAATATGAGTAAAAAACACAAAGTTAGCAAATCTAAACACAATATAATATTAAATACAAAGTAAATAAGTACTAAAAATATCAAAACTAAGAATGTGAATATATACAACCAGGATTTAACTAAGTATTACTAGTCTTAAATATGAAAGATTAAATGTAAATGTGAAAGTACTAAAATAAATAATAATAAATAATAAATAAATAATAAATAAGTACTAAAAATATCAAAACTAAGAACGTGAATATATACAACCAGGATTTAACTAAGCATTACTAGTCTTAAATAGGAAGATTAAATATGTAAGATTAAAGGTAAATGTGCAAGAACTAAAAATAAATAATAAATAATAATAAATAACAAATAAATAATAAATAAGTACTAAAAATAAATAATAATAAATAACAAATAAATAATAAATAAGTACTAAAAATATCAAAACTAAGAATGTGAATATATACAACCAGGATTTAACTAAACATTACTACCTACTACAACATATTATAACTGTATAAGATCAAGACATAAACAATCAAACTTTTCATTGAGTAACTATCAACTAAAATAAAAGTCTACATCTGTGTCTTAATCAATCACATTATAATTAAAATAAAAACACATCCGGATAACATAAATAAAAATAGACAAAGCAATATCAGATCACATGCATCATTTGAATATAAATACAGATGAAATGCTGCTGCTCATGATGTTTTTTATGTAGTATTATCTTTGGATGTGCTACTTGTGCAGAAACACAAATCTCTTGATGCCGGGTTTGTTTTGGAAACAGACACCGGCCTAGAAGAGCTCATGATCAAATTAACAGCTGGGTACAATGACAATGCATCGATAATTAAATCGCCACCTTGTTTGCCCCAGTTTGCACCTACAATGTCTAAAAGCTGTGCAGTGCTCAGGAGTCAGGACAGTCCGGATCTGCCGAAACCGCACGGCAGAGCTAACGCTACCTAGCCTCGCTAACAGGCCAGCTAGTTGACTGTGATTTAATGTAGCGGGTGTCTCACCTGACAAATCCCACGTATTCCTCGCCTTCCACTAGGATTCTGGCAGAGGACACCCAGTCCTGAGTTTTAATCCCCGGAACAATCGCTCTGCCCTCGATTTTGAACCGATCTCCGTTCGGCTGCGTCGACACACCTGCGCCAGGCCCCGTTTCCACGTCGGTGAAACACGACGCCGCGACGAGCACAGCCTGCAGAAAAGCCCACAGCAGCGGCAGTCTGTCCCACGGCGACATGTTCACTGTGTTCGTTAAATTATATTAAAAAAAATAATGTCCCGACTGTGTTCTCGTCAGCGTGTGTTCAAGAGCAGGTTGGTGTAGAAGGTGCGGAAGAAGAGTCGGCACATCAGCTGTCTCTGCGGAAAATGACGTCACATCGAGGAAAAAAAAAACTTTATTGTACAAACCAATGTTGACACTTCCGGCCGACGACTAGTGTAAACAATTTCGAAGATATTAATTTAAATTTTAAATATAAATGGTTTTCTATTATGAATGTGATTAATACATGACTGAAGCGATTTTTTTTAATTTTTTTTTTTAGCTCTGCTCGTCTCCAATTGCTCTGTTTAAAAGGTATACCCATATTTACATTTCCAGGAAGTTTCACAGATAACTTCTTTAAAAAAAAAAAAAAATGTATTCCAGCTTTACTGTAATCTATGTTTTTTTTTGTCCCCTTCAACAATAAAGATTATAACTTCCGTTTACAACTTTTTAAAACGCTTTTACTCTGATAAACAGAACATGTTAACTTTTTACAATCAATAAAGTTAAGATAAAAAACGCAACAAATGAAAAATAAAAAAACGTTTTAAAACTTGTTTGGCTACTTCAGGTGTTTTATTATACATTATATCACACTAGCCAATGTTGACCTGTGTAATGTTGATCTACTGTAATGTATTAGTCACTCTGCAGCTGTTATTCACCAAAATGTGACTCAGTATCTTATTCTCTACTCTCCTGACAGATCTAATCGTATCTCTTATGCAACTGAACAGGATATTCCTATTATATGCATTCAATGGTAGAGAGTGATGTAGTGACAGACAAAGAGCTTGGCACTTCATAGAGCGACGTAACACCTCGTCTCATGGAGGTCCAGTAAATCTGCCCTCCTCACACGACGGTCCACTTCAATGTGAAGCAGTCATTTGCTGTGTTCGTTTCCTCCTCCTCCTTCTTTTTTGCAGAAAGGATCTCTCGGCCATCCTCAAGAGTCTCACGCTCAAACTGAGGGGAATGTGAATTCTCGAGTTCAGTCTCAGTAAGAGGTTTAAGTGGCAACCAGCCCATTTTCTGTGGAATCATTATCAGTTCAAAACACAGCCATGATCCGGCAGTAGTGGTCACATCCTCAGAGTGCTGCACTGACAACTGTCAGGGCAGCTGCGAAAGATAAGCCTCGACGGCCTGCAACATGAAGCGGAGGTAACACATCAGTGGTTTTCACAGCTAGTTAAAGAGTTCAAGAGTCTGCAGGAAATCTTTGTTTAGTCATTTTCAGCACACCAAAGAATACACATAATGAAATCAAAGCAACAAAAATGCATCAGAAAAAAAAAAATTAACACGTCTATGGATACACAGCACAAATGACATAATTCCTGTTTAGCTCTTTGTCCTTCCATTCTCTAACTATTAAATGTGTTAGTTACTAAGATGTGTTTCAACTCGCTTTGTGTTTTCAGCGTCATACTTGGATTCTTGTTGACTTTGAAACAGGATGTGACGATGGAAAAGGGAGCCACACTCCCAATACAAAACGCTCAACTCACACATCGCAAATGCTCAAGCTCGTACAAGTGTGGTGGATTTTTTTTAATTTGATTTCTTTAGGAAGGGAGTGGTTGGCTTTGTCCACCATAAACCAACAGAGGGTGTGAAACAAACAGACGGAGAAGGAGCACCTGGACTAAGTTGTGCTTGAATAAAGAAACTACAACAAGCACTATTCACTTCACGAGCGACCCACACAAAGATTTGACTAATCCTCATTGTGAAGTTCAGATTAATTCCATTTGTAAACTATTATCTGTAACTTTTCAAGTCCTGACAAATCTTTTACATCAACGGCATCAAATCCCTGAATAATCCCTGGAATAATAACAGCCATTCTCACCTTTGCCAGTTCGCCTGTAGATCCTGGAACCAAACACAACCGCGCTCCTTCCTTCCACAGGTCCTTTAGCGCTGCTTCATGACTTCAATATTCCTGAAAGACACACAGGGTATTTACTATTTCAAATATGCTGCAAGTGCAGAGGAACAAGCAGTTAGTGGCTGTAACAATCACATCTTTGACCTCTAAACATTGTGTTGGCAGCTCTTTAAAATGTTTCAAATACGCTCATTAGAGGTATTTCCAGTAGAGTATTGGACTAAAATTGGCATGGAAGAAAATATGTGATTATCTGAGGACACATTTGAAGATACATGTAGCTACTTTTTCCTGCCACAGAGATTATCAGGTTGCGTTTTGCCCACCTGTCTTCTGAACAACTGTCCCGCAGTCTTTTCTCATTCTTAGAAAGTTCTGGCCACCATTTCCTGATGACGGACTGAACCCAGTGTAAACCCACCGTTATGTGTCTGTAGAGAGATGATGAAGGAGATGAGTGTCGTAACATTTCTTTAGATATTCATAACAGCATTTGGTCTCCAAGTTAATAAACACATGGTATTTATCTTCCAATAGTCTTCAGCAGTTAATGAGTTATTCATCAAACAGTCTGAAGCGTCTTAGATGAGCAGAGAATCTGAACTTCTTTAACTCGACACAGGGAAACGGATCATTAATCATGTGTGCAATTCCACAGTGACACTTACTCTTCGTATTTACTGGCGAGAATCACTTTCACGAGGGGCATGAGGTCGACGCAGCAACCAAGTGACAAACATGGTGCTTCAGTTTGAAGGCTGATGAGAAACAAGAAAACAAGATCAGAGAGAGAGAAAATGAGACGATGTTCAAAAACACAGAGGGAGGAGAGACTTTGCTCTTTATCGTGTTCAAGTTTTTCCAACTTCTCGCCTGACTTGGCAGACTGTGCAGGTCAAATGAAATTCATTGAACTGCTGTTATTTCTGCCACAAAAAGTTTGAAGATTTTGATGCTTTAGAGCCAAAACAACTAATAGCTTGGCTAGGTCTGATGAATTAGAAATACCATTGATGCTTAGTTGTAAGTTCATTAGAAAAAAGGCAAAAGGCTGCAGCTTCTCAAAGGATTACATTATTCGTTGATGTGAATAACGTTTTAACTGTGAACAGCAACAAGAAGTAACTTCAGTATTTCATCTCTGTTCTGAAAGATCACTGCTGTCATTTTTTGCTTCTTTTTGACATATTACAAAAGAGGAAAATAACTAATGGATGAGTAGGAAATAAAAATCCTTACTAGGTTCCTTAATGACACCATAAGATGCCGGTCTGCAGAATCAGATCTATTTTATTTAACAGATAAGACTCACTTGTTTGTTAAGACAGGTAAGCAGTCAAGCAGCACCGCTGTGTCTTGAATTCTGCAAAAACATAAATGATTAAAGATGAAGCATCTCCCTGAATTGAAGAGTGAGTATAAACTGCCAAAGTTAAGTATGTCAGTGTCAGTGTTTTACCTTATAAGGTAGGCCACTAACTCACTAGCGTTTCTTCGCCATAGTGTCTGGGCCACTTTTAGTCGCAGATTCCTTCCGAAAAGGACTTGAGTCATAGCTTCATGGTCCTTGGTCAGCTGTTCGGAAAGTACAAAGGAAAGTAGGTTTGCAAGTTTTACCCAAGAAAGACACAGAAGAATTACAACTTTTAACCCAAACAGAGCTACAACTTTTTTTTTTTTTTTTTTTTACTGCGACTCTGACCTCGGTGAATTCGCCGTACTTGGAGCTGGCCCCTGCCATCTTGGAGGCCTCTGCAGAGTTCACAGGGAGCCCGCAGTTGTCATTGTAGTGCATGCCCCGCACGTCTTCGGAGCACGTCAGCTCATTTTCTTTGTTGGCCATGCCGCGGTCACGGACACAGCCTACATCGGACGTTTTGCGGCGCAGCTTCAAGCCCACCTCCACCGCTGGACGAGCCTTCCTCTTGAAAGATGACGATCGCTTTGCTTTGCCCGGGCTGTGTGACGCGTACTCCACTTGGAATCTGCGGAAAGAGCAAGCGGACCGTACACAGAGCTGGTTCAGCTTGTAAAAAATGAAACACTGTCAAGAGGCATAGACATGGTGATAATGGGTATGGAGAGGTGCCTTAAGGAGCCAGTGACTGAGATGGATGATCTGCGGGACACAGATAGTGAGAGTGAGTGATCAAAATAAGATTTAATCACACTCACCTTTCTTTATCTAATTCTTCCTTATTTACAATATCCACCTAAAACAAAAGGATAGGGGATGAGGCCACTATTACCATGTCTACTACTACTCCTACAACAACAACACCACTGAAGTGCACTTCACAGTCACCATACTGAGCTGTTATTTACACAACAAGAGAAGGTATTTGAGCTTGTACCTGCTTCATGTTCTTTGCAGCAGACGGATGCAGGCAGGACCACAGAAAGCCATTGGACTTACACTGGTTAACCTCAAACACTTCCCGGAGCCGGACATGCTTTCCCCCTCCTCTCAGTTCACCTTTTAACACGGGACCCTGCAGGACGAAGTGCAGAAGTCAGTGTGAAGTAAATCTCGCAGCTTCAGGAGATGTGGAGCCACTGTCAGCCTAGCTACAGGTTGGCTTGATGCACAAGTTGTAGCATGTGCAGAAGCAACAAACAAACCAAAAATAAAACAAACAAACATTCAAATGAAGTAAACAAAAACATTTGAGGTTAAAGAGAGGCGTTGGCTTTTTTTCGGCTGAACCGCAGGAGCATTAGCTGAGTTTGCAGAGGAGCACCAGGAGTCACTTAAAAGAGGATTAAAACTAACTTAATATGTTTCCTCTTCTTGTTACAAATGATGACACCCCTTCGTCAAAAGTCAGCTAATGAAAACATGGAACATGAAGACAGTCCCGTTAGCTTTAAGTGCTAACTATGAAGGATACACGGAGACGTTCAAAGTATCCGGCCCGCCAGCTAAGCTAAGCTAAGCTAAGCTAAACTGGCTAGCTAGTTAGCTTTTAGCAACTCTGTGGACATATGGCTCCATTTGAAAAAAAAAAACACAGTAGTTAACGCATTACTTTCACTTTTATCGAACAGTTAAGTTGAGTACAGACCGATTCATTTTTTTTGGGAGAGTCTCTCGAGGTCACCTGAAGGCGTGTAAATCCGAAACGTGGAAAAAAACTGGTTAAACTCCGCAGCGACAACTCAGTGTTAGCGTTTCACTGTTGGACCATTCAAATGATACACACCGCCCGGTCGGTGTGTGTGTGTGTGCGTGTGTGTGTGCGTGTGTGTGTGTGAGAGAGAGAGGATTGTGGGATTGATTTTGGTAGCCGAAAAGTGGAGATTTTTAGCGACGACTGCTGGACATTACGAGTTATATTAAAGTCCTGGTGGACCATGGCGCCACCTAGTGTCATTAATCTGTAATGCAGACAGAAATACATTTCTCTGCCTCCCCTGTATCAGTTCATACAGGTTACTTTATTCCTGTTGTTTCTTATCCATACATTTAATCTTTCATATTTAATTTATAACCATTTACGACTCTCTTTTTGCACATTTACATTTAATCTTTTATATTTAATTTATAACCATTTACGACTCTATTTTTGCACATTTACATTTAATCTTCCATATTTAATTTATAACCATTTACGACTCTCTTTTTGCACATTTACATTTAATCTTTCATATTTAATTTACAACCATTTACGACTCTCTTTTTGCACATTTACATTTAATCTTTTATATTTAATTTATAACCATTTACGACTCTCTTTTTGCACATTTACATTTAATCTTTCATATTTAATTTATAACCATTTACGACTCTGTTTTTGCACATTTACATTTAATCTTTCATATTTAATTTATAACCATTTACGACTCTCTTTTTGCACATTTACATTTAATCTTTCATATTTAATTTACAACCATTTACGATTCTGTTTTTGCACATTTACATTTAATCTTCCATATTTAATCTTCATATTTAAGACTAGTAATGCTTAGTTAAATCCTGGTTGTATATATTCACATTCTTATTTTTGATATCTTTTAGTACTTATTTATTTTGTATTTAATATTATATTGTGCTTAGATTTGCTAACATTGTGTTTTTTACTCATATTGTGTGTTTGTACAACCTGCTGCTGTAACGCCACAATTTCTCAGTTTGGGATCAATAAAGTAATTCTATTCTATTCTATTCTATATCATTGCACTACGGTCACTTTATTTATCTCATATTTACCTTTATAGTTATATTGTATATATAGTTCTGTTGTTCCATTATTCACCATGCACCTTAATAACTTATCATTTAGTATTTGCCTACTTGCACATAGCTCTGTATATTTATTTATTTATTTCTCGCTTACTGCACATAGTTCTGTTTACATCTGTTAGTCCGATCACTGTCCACTCATATATACGCTTATATATATATTTTGTATTTTAAGTTAAGTTTAAGATTCAAGTTGTATTTAAATTGACACTTCATATTAAGGTTAAAATGTTTCATCTACCTGCACTGTTGTTAATTTACTGCTCTGTGTGCATTTGAATTGCCCCCCGGTGGACAAATAAAGTTCTTTGAATTGAATTGAAAAGGTTGATCATTATTTTACATTTATGAAAGCTGTCTGCACCATCCGTCTGCACACATGTGCAAGAAGAAACCAGATGTTTTTCTTATGGGAAAAGCATGGACTGTCAAATGAGGGAAAGCAGCAATAGGCTACCACAGTACAATTTGATTTGATTCAATTTGATTCACATGTTTTGATTTGATGTGTAATGTAATTTTCACAGTCACAGGACAGTAATATAATAATAATATAATAAAGTTTATTTATAAAGCAAAACCAACGTCACAAAGTGCTTTACAGAAAAAAGAAAAAATCCCAACAGTCAAACACACAACAATAAAATCCTGTTAAAAGCATGAATAAAATAATAAATAAAAACAACAGTGCAGCAATCATCCAATTAACGGCTCTCAACCGAAAGGTTGAGGGTTCGATCCCCAGCTGAGCAACATGTCCGATGTGTCCTTGGGCAAGACACTTAACCCTGAATTCAAAAACAATTCAAATTAAATTAAATTGGCTGCAGGCAAACACAGCCACTGGCAGCCCCATTGTAAGTCCTCCTTACCAGTTACGCACTGGCTGGTAAGGGGACAGCAGTTCAGAAATATATTCTGGGGCCAGACCGTGAAGTGCTTTAAAAGTAAGAAGTAAAACCTTAAAATCAATCCTAAAAGAAATGGGTAGCCAGTGTAAGGTCATTAAAACAGGAGTAGGCCTACAGGTAGGTCACATTGCAATTTGTGTGCATCTGTCCTTGAGTCAGCTCTGCAAAAGAGTGAAAATATAATAACAGAAGAGTAATATAAAAGATAACAGAGGAAGAATAATAATTAAAATTGTAATTACAAACACACAATAAATTTACACTGTAACCCCAGAAAAAAAAAGTGTTTTTTAATTATAAAATGAGACACTGTACAATAAAGTTAAAAGATGTTTTCTTGTCCTGAGTATAATCCATGCGTTATTACTTGTATTGAGTACCGTTAATAGAAGAAAAGTACTATCAGAGTACCCCGTTAGTGGTCAATGGTCATTTTGAGTAAATTGTAATATTTGTATCCTACAAGTAACCTTTAGCCTTTGTTTTACATGTATTTGTTTAAATGTTGGTTGGCCCTGAAACCAAGATCATACATCTTTTATAGTCAGAAAAAAAAAAACCAAACAAACAGAAAAACTAATTCACGACACATACTCGTGAAATAAACGACCTGGCTTTATTTCCAGGTGTTTCAGGAAAGGTAAGCAAAACTAGATCTACACCAAAGTTAATCCAACCATCCATCCATCCATTATGTTGACTGCTTTTTCCCTGTTTGGGGTCACGGGGGTCTGGAGCCGATCCCTGCTGTCACTGGGCAAGAGACGGGGTACACCCTGGACTGTTCGTCAGTCAATCACAGGGCTCAAAGAGACAGGCAACCACTCAAATTAATTAGAAAATAAAATAGATTCTAATTCTGATAATTAAATGTACTTTACGGGACAATTGTTTTACACCCTTGAGTCATCCCTGTTGGTAAAATCCAAAAGAAAAGGGACGTACTCTCCTTTTCTCCCAAATTATTCTTCTCTCACAGTTTTCCCCCTGAAAACTTGTGAATGTGCAGGACTCACTAAAGAGAATTAATGAAGAATCTTTAACAACCCAAATGAAAACTTTTGGCTTCTTTTAAAGCCAGGTAAGACTTACTGTTCAGGGCTGTAGTGTGATGTCTATGTTTGATTTGAAATCAAACAAAAATAATTCATTAAAGATGGTTGAAATTCAAAGGTTGGCAGGAAAAGTGTTTCAGCACCAGCCACCTTCTCGCCTTTGACCTTTTCTATTGAAAGATGTTCTGGGAATAAAATGGCTTCACTTAAAGCCCTGACAACCTTATTTTATCCTTTACTTCATATTTCTTATAAGCCAGCAGGAGCCCTGAATGACAGCTTTGCTTTAATAAAAGTTTAATTTAAAAAATGCTTACTTGCTAATAATCTTGACCTTCATGACCTTCTTGTTGAAGAATGTTCTGACTGAAAATGTGTATAAAATGAATATAAAATAAGGCTGAAAAGAAAGAATGGGAGGGAGAGTTTTGAATTATTTTATGTAAGAAAGCGACCCTGCGCTTTGGCTCTTGGAAAGTTTAAAGGCAGCATGAAAGAAAAGGGTGGAGGTGACAGGCTAACAGACTGTTTATAAAAGATAAGATATGAGTTTTTAATGCTTGGTCTTTATCAGAAGCTTTGAAATATATAAAGACTTAGTTCTAGGTTGGCCTAAGTTCACCTGTCTTTACAACTTCAGAGCTGCAGCCTCATGTTTATTGTAAAAAATGCTGTTGTTTACAGTTCTGTTTCCCCACAGGGCTTATTCATATAACTGTCTCACAATTGAATGATCTGCTCCTGTGGTTGTAAAAAATAACACCTTGAGCAATTTTCCTTAAAACGGGAAACAGATTTTCTGTTGTGTTTGGTTTAAAATGTTCAAAATAAATTAAATTCAAAATTCTTGTTTTTCTTGCAGCAGCATCAATAAACACCCAGGATAACATGGACGTGAACATACAGGAGTTTTGTATATTAGTGTGTTATCAAAAAGGAGACGATATTTGTGGAATATTTTCTTTGATGCAGTATTACAGGTTAGAAAGCTTCTTCTTTTAGGGGGGTTGTTGGGGTGAGAGTAGGACTTGGGTTGGGAACCGGAGGGTCACCTACTCCAGTTGCAGTGCTGACCATGTCTGGAAATTGGTCTAGTTGCTAAAGAGGTGCCAGTTCACTTACTGAGCCCTGCCGAGGTGCCCTTGAGCAAGGCACCAAACCGTGGGCAGCCCCCTCACTCTTTATTAGTGCATTATCATTGGATCCTGTTTGTGCATGTGTGTGTATTTAATTTCAGCCTATGTGTGTAGCATTTTCAACAACAGAGTGTAAATTATATTTTCTTCTTTCGTCTTCTTTCTTTTTGTAAGTACGTTTTTACAACTCAACCACTGAATAAGCTAGATACATACAACCTTTTTTATAAGCACATAGGTTAATTGTTTGAGATCTTTGAATTTGAACACAAAGAACAACTGAAAGGCATACACTCATTTTTGCTTGAATTATTATTTTTTTGTATATAAATTAATGTTCATGAAGCTCAGTAACTGAACGAGCCTTATGATCAGTGAACCCTTCAACGCAGGGCCTGGAGCACGGTTTGAATTGAGGATGAGTGATGGCAGTTCAGAGCCTGCAAATATGTTTCTAAAAAAGACATTTCCAGTCTGCTCTCGGCAGATTTTTGTTTTGGAAATATTTAGGAAGGTCTATTTAGAGCACCTGTCAGGATGTTCTTTGTTGACTTCACGCCACTCTTCCTCTCAAAATGGATTAAGAGAAGATTCTCCTCATGCAAACAGTTCTGAAATGTATATGCCAAACGTCTGGCATTAAGGGAACAGACATACACGTGTGGAGAAGATTATTTTAGAAGGCTACTCATTCAGATGTTGATAGGTGATCAATAAAAAGTTAGTTTCTGCCACTTTCTACCCCTGATTGATTACGATGATCTTCTGCATGCGTCTTCTCACTGAACTTAAATTTTCGGATACTGTATACCATTGGTTCTCAACTGATCTCATCTCAGAACCCATCACCATGAAAAATCACGACTCAGATTTCTGATATTTTTCAAACAATCAGATTT